GGAGCTCTGACCCTGTGGATCCTCTTCTCATGCAGGTGGGTTTCCCCGAAAGCGGCAGTGATGGTGGTGGCTGGGGGAGTTTTGTGACAGCTTCAGAATTATGTCATGCCAAGGGCARTGAGAACTCTCCCCCAGACGCCCTCCCCTCTAAAATAGCCTGTCAGTCATTCACTTTTGGTTAAATTAACTGTGTCCGTCATGGCCTTTCTCCAGATTGACTCAGTTACTTATTCGCCCACTTGTTTTTCTTTCCCACTACAAGGTAGAACCKACTGACTAGACCAGGGACTGTGCCTAATTCCTTAATCACAGCAGCCYGGCATCTAGTAGGCCCTCAGGCAATGGTAAGCAACAAATATATGAAATTCCAGGGAAGGCTCAAGTCCTCTTTTTTTAAAAAAATTGTATATTAGTGCATTATATTATATATATATTATATATAACTATGGTTCACTTTGACATAGTTATTCAAGCATGGAATATGACTTGTTCCATTTCAGTCCCAGTGCTTCCCTTTACCCCCTCCTTCCTCCCTGTTTCCTTTCCTGTATTCTACCAGTCTGTCTGTCTGTCTCTCTTTCTAGTTTTTAAATGAGAGCATTGTAGATACACATCAAGGTGAAATGCCCTGTGGTATGTTCATCCAGGCCCATGGGTAGGTTTGGTCAGTCTCATTCTATTGTTCCTCCATTTTCTGTCCCTCTTCCCTCCCCACCAGTCACTTCCTCTACTCCATTGATCTTTCTTCTATTTTCATGGGATTCTCTGGGTTTTTCTGCCCTGATTTTGGTCTAGCTTCAGCATCTGAGAGAAAACCTTTGATCCTTGACTTTGAGTCTGGCTTATTTCCCTTAGCATGATGTTGTTCTCCAGTTTCATCTGTTTGCCAGCAAATGCCRTCATTTCATTCTTCTTCGACTGAGTAAAACTCCGCTGTGCAGAGAGGCCACATTTTCATTATCCATCTGTCTGTTCTCTGGTTCCCTAACTTGGTCATTGTGGATTGCACTGCTGTAAACACTGATGGGGCTAGATGGCTGTAGTGTGCTGATTTGAAGTCCTTTGGGTATGTGCCGAGGAGGGGAGAACTGGGTTAAAAGGCGATTCCATTCAAAGTTTTCTTTCTTTGTACTCCACACTGCTTTCTGGAGTGGTTGTACTAACTTGCAGTCCCACTGACAAGGTCTGAGTCGGGTTTTCCCCACAGCCTTGCCGGCCTTGATTATGATTGTATTCTTGATGATCGCCATTCTGATTGGAGCAAGATGAAAGCTCAATGTGGTTTTGACTTGTGTTTCCCCAATTGTCAGAGGTGTTGAATCTTTTTCATTTATATGTCGGCCATTTGCATTACTTCTTTTGAGAAGTGTTTAGTTCTTTTGTCCATTTATGAATAGGACAGGTTTTTTTTTTTTTTTTTTGGTTTTAGCCTGCGGCCAGCACAGGCTTCATAGGTGAAGGTTCGGCTGCGTGAGAAATCCACAGGGAGTTTAAATTACAGAGAGCGACTCTAATTACCTTTAAACCAGTTCCAGGACGGCTTCTCTTAGCTCCAGCTTCCAGCTACCTATTAGGGTAGCGAGATTTACTGAAGAGGCCAGAGAGAGAGAGAGCGAGAACACGCCAGGGAGTGGACTTTTATTGGGGAATAAAAAATTCTGGAGAAAATCCCATCCAATGAAGATTAAGGGGGCAGTGTCCCGAGGTCAGGTGAGACCATTGGGTCTTCGGGGGCTGTGGTCAGGCACGCCTCCACACAGACAAGCCCTTGGACCCAAGAAGGGTGAGGAAAGCTCTGGACACATGTGTCTAAGCGCCTCTCGCCCAGCYGGGGAGGTGACTCGAATCACGTGCAAGGATGGCCTCCCACATTTGGTGTTAGTTCCTTGATTTCTGGATATTAATCCCTTGTCTGAGGAGCAGTGATAAAGGTCTCCCGTTCCATAGGCTCTCTCTTCATGTCCTTGTTTTCTTTGCCGTTCTTTGCCTTTTAATTCCATGTCATCCCTCTTACTGACTCTTGGTTTTATTTCTTGGGCTTCAGGAGTCTTGTTAAGAAGTCAGTGCCTGTGCCTTGGGTCCTTGGTGAGCTGCTTGTCGTCACTGTGTCTGGAAGGTTTCCATTGTGATCACAAGACCTACCAGAATCTCCCGGAGCAGGAAAGGCCAGTTTCCCACAGGAATTAGATACCGTTAGCTAAAATATTGGGGAAAGATATTGAGCAAATAATAATAAAACATCTGTCCGCCGTGTGTTTCGTGTTCTTGMAGCATGGCTTAGCGTTTCACCCAGCTGCTCGCCCTCATGCACGGGGTTGACCAGCTTCTTCACTGTGCGAGGGTGCTTGGCTGAAGGGATGGACAGGGACTGAAGTCTGGCCCAAGGCTCCACTCAGAGTGTCCTTTTTCTGAGAAGCACTATTTTATCATTCACCCAAATTTCTGTGGTCTGTGTGCACACAGTGGCCGCAGAGCCCACTTCTCCATCCGACCCTCTGAACGGCTTGTGCTGCAGTAGGACTGCTCGGAGTAGGGGCGTGAGCAGATGTGCTGCACATCTGGATCCCATCGGCCAACTCCGAGGCACTCCCTTAGCCACATCCTGAGAGATTCTGAGAGATGACGCGTCTTGGGAAATCCCCCCTTTCCCCTTTCTTCCCCATTTTTCTACTTGGTGTTGCTTGTTGGGTGAGTGTCCTGAGCACATTTAGAGCTTTCTGAACTTCAAGTTGGCTGAATCAAGAGAGGAAGCTGCCCTCCATCCTTCTTGTTTACCTGCTTTTCTCCGCCATTTCCACTTTCATCTACCTGGTAATTCTGCTTCAAGAGGAAGAACTTGCCCATCCCTGGTCCTTTGGTGGAATAATCTTGGGTTTGTTTTGCATTTTATTTGGTTAAAGACTTCTTTGAGGAAGTGAAATGCTATTTTTAAAAAGGCAAATGAGTTGAAGAAATAAAAACCACTCAGTCTCACCCCTGTAAAGCTGCAGATCTCTGACATTCTAGATGGGTAGTTTCCATTCCAGAAGCTCCCRGCAGCTCTTCAGCTCTTTTCTAGTACTCAGTTTCATCTCCACTCTGCATGGGTTCCCTTCATGGGATTTTCTTATATACTGATCATCCTGCAAGGGACAAAACTGGCAACTCCTGTCACTCTTTGACACCTGTGGGGAACTGGTTCCAGGACTCCCCACAGACACCCAATTCTGTGGATATTCAGGTCCTCATATGAAATGGTATTTGGATATAACCAATGCACATTCTAGCCAAAACTTTAAGTCACCTCTAGGTTATTTAGAGTACCTAGCACCGTGTAAACGCTCTGTAAAAGTTTTCTACTATCTTGTTTAGGGATGACAAGAAGAAACAGTTGTGTGTTCTCAATACAATGCATTTTCGGGGCTGGGGATGTGGCTCAAGCGGTAGCGCGCTCGCCTGGCATGAGTGYGGCCCGGGTTCGATCCTCAGCACCACGTACCAACAAAGATGTTGTGTCTGCTGAAAACTAAAAAATAAATATTAAAATTCTCTTAAAAAATACAGTGCATTTAAGCACATTGTCCACCTGTGATTGGTTGAACTCCTGGATGTGGAATCCRCAGGTGTGGAGGGTCCCCTGCAGCATTTCATCTACTCATTACCTTCTCAGCGCAGGTCCTTAGAAGTCTATGCTGTAATCACTTGGGGAAGTTAAAAAAAAATTGTGGGCCTCAAACACAGATATTCTTAGTAGGTTTGGGGTCCTGGAATGTATATTCTGAGAATTCCCTGGTAGGCATTCCCAGACTCCCGGTAATCAGAGGGAGGAGAGGAGGGTGAATGAAGGACGAAATGGGTGAGTCAGGCCCTCGGCCTACACAGCCCACCTCTTTCTCCCTTTTCCACAGCTTCCTGTTTCTCTTTCTCTCCGAGGAGAGGAGGTGGATGTTCCAAGGCACGGAAAACAAATGTACTGTATAATGCAGAGGTTTTCCTTAAAACCAGCAGTACTGGTGGCAGCTCGTCTTGGTCTAGCTTGGTAGATAGGCAGTCCCATAGGTGGTGGGGCCACCTGTCCTTTATCATATCAGTGCCAGTGTCTTGATCTTGGGAGTACAGACCCACTTGGGTGTTGGTGACATACAGCCGAGGCCCTAGACCTGTCAGTCGATAGCTTTGAAAGCCCCTCCAGCTGAGGCCCGCATTTGTGCAAACAGTTAGGCTCTCCACCTGAGCAGGTGGCGTGTGGCCCTGCAGCTTCAGTGCCCATCACACTCTGACTAACTTCAGTGCGTGTCCTTTAGAGGGGCCTACTGCGGGAGGAAGGGCCAGGCAGACGTTGAGAAGTCCGGAAGTGCATTCCAGGCTTGGCTTTGGTTGGCTTGCAAATTGCAATTGAATGAATCTCTGTAATCCCTTTAATCAGTTTGGTTATTTTCTAAATAATAGAAGGATTATATTCTTTAAGTCAGTTATAGGGAATATTTTTTTGTATGTCAGAACTACGTCTATGACTGTAACCTAATTTTATATCAGGATATCTRCCAGGCGTTGTTACTGTAGACATCAACATCATTTCTTATTTTAATAACAAAAGTTGATTAAGTTGTAAATAAAGTAATATGGCTTATTATTTAATGTTTAAAGTATAGTGAATGCTATCTACTTTATCTTGTGTATGTAAAAGTTGGTGTCATTAGATTGAGTCCTCTATAGTAATTGTTATTTCATAGATTCATCCACTGTGGAACTTCAGAGGCCGATAAAGACCTTACATGGGAATTAGTTACATAAAGTATGCAAAAATAAGAAATGCTTTTACCAAGATGGAGCACAAAAAATAACTCTGTAGTTTCTTTATGCAAAGCAATTATGTGGCACAGAACAGTTGTTTCTGGCCCACAGAATCTAGTGTGAGCACCTTAGGCTGCTTAAGATGCGTTTTATGCTTTAACTCTGCAAATCTAGGTAGCAGGATAGTTCATCTGATTTTTAAACCTTGATTTCTTTTTTCCTGGCAGATCCAGTTCCGAGGTGGAGCTTCTGAGCATCCTTGATTCGTGGAGGAAGCGCTGCCGAAGGATGGAATCAACAGCTTAACCTCGGCAGGTGTCTGGGTGGCTCTGGTTCATCTGCTATGGTCGCGGAGCCCGAGGTCTAAGGAATACAGGGACTTTTGTGATGACAATATGACTAATAGTAAAGGAAGATCTATTAGCAGTAAAACAAGTGGTGGTTTCAGTAGTGGAGAAGGTTTTGTCAATTGGACTTTAAATTTAAATACAATTCAGTCTGACAAGTTTTTAAACTTACTGTTGAGCATGGTTCCAGTAATTTACCAGAAAAGCCAGGAAGACAGGCACAAAAAGACCAACAGCCTTTGGCAAGATGGGTTGTCAGGGGCAGGCCAGGCGTTCAGTAGCAGGTCCGAGCAGCACGTGGAGTACCACGGTTTCTCCGAGCAGCCTTTCCACGGGAGCAGTGGGCACGCGCCCTCAAACTGCAGTCCCAAGTACGACGACTATGCCAACTACAATTACTGTGACGGCAGGGAGGCCTCGGAAACGACCGCCATGCTGCAGGGCGAAGACGCGTCCAGTGAGGGTGACGAGGACATCATTGTGGAAACAAGCCAGAAGTTGCCCAAGGAATCCAGCGGCATCATGGCCCTGCAGATCCTGGTGCCGTTTCTGCTGGCTGGATTTGGCACGGTTTCAGCCGGCATGGTTTTGGATATAGTCCAGGTGAGTGCTCAGGTTAACCCTGCTCTCTTTCTGGTCATTCCATCCTCATTGAAATGCTCTGTTCGTATAGGTTAAGAATTTCAAAACAGCCAGCCAACCTACTTTTCTTTCTCGCTTTCTGAAGTGCTGGGATTTGAACTCAGGGCCTCGTGCATGCTAGGGAGACGCTCCACCACTGAGCTTCATCCCTAGATCAGAATAATCCTTCTGGCCATAAAGTAATTCAAAACAAGTTAGTTCACAGAAAACCCAGGGCTTGGATATATCGCTGTGATAGCGTGTATGAGGCCCAGATTTTGATCCCCAGTATAAAAAGGGAGAAGGGAAAAAGTCAATAAATGTTTTATTAAATATTTGTTACTATAGTCAGTAAAAGTTAATATGTGCTCATTAAAACGAATCCAAACATTAAAGAGTATTAGGTAAAAGATGGAATCACCTCTACTATTCATCTCCAAACTCACACTCCCTCCTTCCAGAGATTACCACTGTCGAGGCTTTTTTCCGTGGTGTATTATACATATCTGAGTTCTTTTCAGAAATAAAGATGAAATGCTACATATRCTTTTCTGCAACTCATTTTCATTATTTAGTAATACATATTGTACACACGTTGGTTCTCAAAGATTTCTGCATTTAAAATGAGTGCTTTGGCTGGGGACTAAGCTCAGTGGTAGAGCACCGGCCTAGCATGTGTGAAGCCCTGGTTCAATCCCCAGTAATTCAAAAACAAATAAAAATAAAAATGGCATTAAAATAAGTGCTTGATGTTCCATTATATGTATATACCAAAATYTATTTATTCTTCTTCCATGCTGCTGTTCCAGTAAATATCCTGGTGAAATGTATCTTTACGTACTTGAACTAATATGTTCATAGGTTATGAAATATATATGAAATAAAAWTWTTTTTTTTGGTAGTACTGGGGATTGAGCTCAGCGCTTTGCACTTGCTAGGCAAACATTTGGCTACTTCCCAGTCCTTTGTTTTTTAAATTTTATTTTGAGACTGGGTTTCCTTAAGTTGCCTAGGTTGGCCTCAAACTTGAGATCCTCTTGCTTCAGCCTCCTGAGTAACTGGGATTATAGGCATGTGCTATGATGCCCAGCTCATAGAATACATCTTAAAAATGAGATTTCTGCCRGAYGCAGTGGCTCAGGAGGCTGAGGCAGGAGGATCCTTGAATTCAAAGCCAGCCTCAGCAAAAGCRAGGTGCTAAACAACTCAGTGAGACCCTTTCTCTAAATAAAATATATAAATAGGGCTGGGGATGTGGCTCAGTGGTCAAGGGCCCCTGAGTTCAATCCCCAGTACCCTGCACCCAAAAAAGAGATTCTGAAATTCAAATGGCCAACAAATACATGAAAAAATGTTCAACACCTTTTGCAATTAGGAAGATGCAAATCTAATTACACTGAGATTTCATCTCCTTCTAGTCAGATTGTCAGTCATTGAATACAGATAAGGCCGAGCTCATAGGCACACTCCTGTTAACTGGAGGCTGAAGCAGGAGAATCAAAGTTCAAGGCCAGCCTCAGCGATTTAGTGAGACCCTCAGAAACATAGACCCTGTCTCAAAATAAAAAATAAAAAGGACTGGWTATGTACCTAAGTGGTAAAGTACCGCTGAGTTCAATTGCCAGTAAACTTCCCACAAAAATACAAATAATAATAAATGCTGGCAAAGATGCAGGAAAAAGAAACACTTCTATGCTATTGGTGGGGCTGTAAATTACGGTAGCCATTGTGCAGGTCAGCAAGGAGGATTCTCAAAAGACTGGACGTAGCACCACCACATGACCCAGCTCTACCACTCCTGGGTATTTATCCAAAGGAATTAGCACACTACAGCRATCCTTGCATTCCCATGTTTATAGCAGCACAATTCAGAATCGCCAAGTCATGGAATCTGCTTAGGTGTCCAASAGCAGACGACTGGATAATGTGGTGTATACAACAGAAGTTTATTTAGCCATATGAAAAATGAAATCATGTCATTTGCAGGGAAAAGGATGGAACTCGAGAACATTCTGTCAAGTGGGATTAGTCAGAACCAGAAAATGCAGGGCCATAGGTTTTTCTCTCATGTGGAAGCCCCAGCGTAGAAGGAAAGAAAAGGGACCTTAGGAAAATAGACCAGGAGACCCGAGGGAGAAGGGGAGAGGAAGTGGGGGTACAAAGGATGAAACAAGCCAAATTTTGAGTGTGCATCTGTGAGGATATCACAACGAAGTCCATTATTAGGTAAAACTGTAATTCACCAATCAAAACACRAGTCGGCTGGGTGTTAGGGAGTATGTGTGTTTATAATTTTGCAGATATGTCCCATCTTGCACTCCTACCATAGATACTTGATACTCTTATTTTCCTACACCATATCAGCACTGGGTATTCTTGATCTTTTTAATTTTTGCCAGGTTGTGGGAAAATATTATTGGGTTTTAATCAACTTTATCTTTCTACTGTTTTCTTGGTGCTGGGGGTGAACTCAAGCCGCTTGCTAGGCAGGTGCTCCAGCGTTTTTTGATGGTTCTTAATGTTTTGTGTTTTCCATGTCTTTATTTTAGCCGAGGTGATTTTTTTCTGTCAATTACTATTTTTGTATCTTTCATTCATTTAAAAAATGGATGTGCTACTTACTGATTTGTAGGGGGTTTAAATGTATTGTGGGGACTGGGGATGTGGCTCAAGCGGCAGCGCGCTCGCCTGGCATACATGCGCCCCGGGTTCGATCCTCAGCACCACATACAAACAAAAGGTTCTAGGTCAAACCCTGTCCTCCCGTGCCACTTAAATGTATTGTGGTTACAGAACTTTTTTTCTGAAGTAGTAAATTGTCAAAATGTGGTGTCTTTTACTGTCACTTTTCATCCTTCCGAGGAAAGTTGACCACAGCCAGTGTGTTAGGCAGGGTATCTTGTAATTTGCTTTTTATTATTTGCTTCCTAAAAGAATCTCAGGTTATTTGTGACTCTGAGCCATTAGTAGAGAGCATTTTTATCTAAATGGAAATGTACACAARTAGAAACATTCCCACCAGCAGAGGGCAAAAGGAACTGTATTAAGTTTTTTTTTTAACAGAAGATAACACCAAAGGGGGACCGACCCCATCTAACATTTGAAATATGATTGTTTCAGGTTATTATGATGGTGTCACAGATGCCACAGTGGATAAGCTGTCTTTGGTTGGATTTTTTTCTGATATACTAATCATTGTGAAGAAACACCATGTAGCTGGTGGCTCCTATAAGAATAACATGTTAGGGGACAGAGTGGCAGAGTATTTACGTGGCTCTTCATGTGCATTCCTCCGGTGTCGTGTTTGCTTGTGTCTTGTTAGTGTTGGAAAAAATAGCACATGTATAATTAATTAAAGGTCCTGTGGACTTTAGGACTACTGGCCTCATGACTTTATAGTGTCAAACCTTAGTACTAAAAATGGCAAAAACAGTATGTAAATGTTTTGAAGGATTTTATTTATGCTTTAAAAAGCTTTTTATTTGTAAAACTTAATACATTCAGAGTGTACAAAGCAAAAACATTAGAGCTTGGTGGATTTTTATATTACAAACTGCCATATAACCATCAACCAGCTCAAGAAACAGCATCTGTACAATCCTTCATTAGACTTCTTTGTGTCCGTAAGTTTCATGGGACTGTACTTTCATTTATTTTCATTGCTGCATAGTACTCCATTGTATGAATGTCCTGCAATTTCTCTATTCTACTATTGATGGACATTAAGAGAAAGGGTGTGCTTAGCTGGGCAAGCACTCTCCTCGATTGTAGGTGTTCGTGTGTACAAATTTGTTGGCTCTGTGTATAGATATGGGATTTCCAGATCTCAGAATATGTAGGTACTCAAGTTTAATAGATGTGAGGTGGCTTTCCAAACTAATTGTACCAATTTTCCCTCTAGTTAGCAGTGTACAAGAGATCCTACTGGTCTGTGTGCTTATTTATACTTGGAATCTGGTCTAATTTTAGGAATTCTCACACATGCGGGTGGTTTCTCATCATGGTGTTAGTGGGGATTTCTCTGGTGACTAATGATGCATGCTGACCATTTGGATATGCCTGGTAAAATGTCCTTGCTGATTTTTCTCTGTTTTTCTTAGAGGCTTGTAGGAGTTATTTATATTTCTTGAATATAAACTTTTTAGTTCTATGTATTAAAAATATCTATTCCCCTGGCTTGCCTTTTTATTCTTTCCGTGGTGCATTTTGATGAGGAAAACTTCTTAACTTTGAAACATTTCTTCCTCCTACTTTCCCTTGGTTTGTCTTGTCTCTTTAAGAAATCCTCCCATACCCTGTGGTAATTAAGATGTCCTTATGTCACCTTCTTAGTGCTTTGGTGCTTCCTTTTGCTTTTAGACCATCCCTTGCCTGGACGGACTTTTTGTTCAGAGTGGGAAGTGGGGGCTGTATTTTTTCTTTCCACGTACATTTCCTGTTGTATCTATGCTGTTACATAATTGCTCTCAAAATAATATGTCAAATTTTGAAAGGAAAACAAAGCAGACTGAACTTTGGCCACTGCCTGGCCCTGCTCCTGTGGTGAGTCAGGTGCGGTCTGCATGGGGTGCCTGTGCCCTCGGTCCTTTGTGTGTTTAAGGATCCTGGCTCCATCCCTGCTGTCCCCTGGCTCTGGTACAAGTCTTGGTATGGAGTAGAGGTGTTCTCCTTGCCTTGTTCATCCTCAGAAGTGCTTCAGTGATTCTTTGCCCTCTGCATTTCCATCTGCCCCCCTACTTTCCAGAACTGGGAATTGAGCCCAGTGGTACTTTACCACTGAGCTATATCCCCAGCCCTTTTAATATTTTGAGACAGATTCTCATTAAGTTGCTGAGGCTCTTGCTAAATTCCTGAGGCTGGCCTTGAACTTTCGATCCTGCTCCTCCTATCTCAGCATCCCTGAGCTGATAGGCTTTCACCTTTGTGCCTGGCCTATTTTATTTTTGAGACTGGGTCTCTCTAAATTGCCCAGGCTGGGTTTG